TGGCCCCTCCCCACCTCCCCACTGGTATCATCTAGCAAGGGACGTGGTCCTGCCAACACCTTGATTTTAGTGGTGTCCCATGTTCAGATACGTGATGTACTTCTGACCTACATTGCTGTAAGATAACACAGCCGTGCCATGTTTAGACACTAAGGGGGTCACGATTTGCAGCAGCAGCAACAGAAAGTGGGTACATCTTCGTTCTGACCTGACGTCAGAAATACAACTTTTTCTCAGTGTCACTCTTTCAGTCCTTATACATTACCAATATCAGCGACATCAGCAACACCAATCTTAGGCTATTGGAAGTGTGGCAAGGGGAGAGTTAGGAAGTGTACCACAGCACAGTGGCTATGCCAGGAGTAAAGGGCACGCGGGGCTTATCTACAGGTCAAACTCTTCATTGTCCTGAAAGGCTTTGCCACAAAGAGAAATGCTGACTCAGCAAAGTCGCCGTGCCTATGAAAACCTGCCCAAGATTATTACAAAAACACCTTCACCCATGGAGAAATCCTGCAGGTAAGCACGTGGCATGCCAGTGGTCCTAAGAATCTGTCCACACAGCTGAGGGTTGGTTAGACCACCCAGACTTGGGATCTTGGTGCCTAATGATCTCTTCAAAAGCCCCACGACAGAAACCCACAACCAATCAAAATGCAGATTGGTGCAGCCCAGTCCCAACCGATACATCTAGGACCATGGCTTCCACACCGATGGCTCATTGCAGGAGAGGGGGTGGGATGATCATGAGAGCTGGAGGAACAGGGCATTTGCTGGGAGATTGTGTCTCCTGGGAATGTCAGGACCTACATCCATAAAGTCTCACCAATATGACTGCCTAAACCTGAGCTGAACAAGGACAACAGTAGATATGCTAATGTGGATGGGGTAAAGTTCATGAGGCTTCAACCCCACATGAGAAACTACAGGCAACTAAGGGATGCTGAGAGCAGGAAAAACAGTCTTCCCCAGGGAAGAGCACACCAATTGGTTATCCAATACCAAATGGTCAGCCCTGCAAACATACACAAAAATAACATTACGCAGACCATGAGCAGGTTGCAGCTAGGTATTTAGAAATACATGTATACACACACACACACACACACACACACACACACACACA